GGCACAACGCCCGGCGCGGCGGAGCTTCTACAACAGGCCGGTCACGTCGCAGAGCCGCTACATCGCCTTCCTGGAGACGAGCGGCCGGTGACGGCAGGTGCTCCGGGACCACCGCCTCCGCCTTGTCGAGAAGCGGATCAAAACGCGAAGCGGGCGCCTCTGCGAGCCCGCGGCGATTGCCCACCGGAAATGGGAACGGAATAAACACAAAACACGACGACGAGTCACAGGAGAGAGGAAGAGAAGGAGGAGGGAGATGAGTAGGTGGAGCAGAGGGAAGAGGTCGAAAACTAGGAGGAGGAGGGCTTGCAAATTGGAGAATGAACGTGGGTCAGGGCCAAGACCAGGGAGGCAAGGACACACCCCGATTTTGCCATCAACTATTGTTTTCCTGAAATGCGCCGAAATGACTGGTGGCTGATGATGCCGCCCGCCGACGTGCCCCGCTGCTGACGCGCCCTGGAGTATAGAAGCCCCATGCCGCCGCCGGAGCGCCACTTTGGCGCCACTGCATTGGCAGCAGCGTTCTTTTGATGTAGCGCCTCTCCTGCTCGCCCCACGCCCCGCCACCCCCGCACTCTGTTTTACTACGCATCTTCATGAAAATGGCGCTGGCATTGCCGCCGCCGCTGCCGCCACTCAGCTCCTGCTGCTACTGCAAGTCCTGCGGACACGGCGCGCGGGCGTCACGACAGCGGAGGTCGGGGGGATGAAAAGCAGCACGAGGGGCACAAGCAGGACTTGCGCCTGATTAAAGTCGCCAGCGCTTCAGCCCCCCCCCCCCCCCTCATCCTTCTCCCAATTCTCCTTTGACTCACTAGAGGATCAACATGGCTGGAATGAAATTCCTCGCGCAGCCCCTTAGTCGGGGCGGCCAGTAGTGGGGCCGGGCTGGGCGAGCAGGCAGCCCGGCACCACCGGGCACCGGGCATCAAAGGCAGGTGAGCAAGGGCGAGCAGACACCCCCTTTTCCCTCGCCCCCCCTCTTCCGCAGAACACCAACTGCCCGCCGTGGTCAACCACAAGGTAAAAATAGTTTCATGTATTTCAAGACCTGGTCATGGTCACGGATGTCGGATGCCATTGGCGTTCTCCATCTCCATAAGATTCAAGACCAGGTCTTGAAATACATGAAACCATTTTCACCGTGTAGGTCGCTGCGCCGGGGTGCTTCCCTCCTCACTGCCCGAATGGAGCAACCCCCCTGCCCCCCCCCCCTTTCCTTCCAATGAGTGACCTTTGCTATTTAAGATGACTCGGGCACCGTCTTCTTATTGGACGCAATAAAGTTACGCGTGCCCCACTCACCCGTGGGCTGCAGTATCAGCTGAGGCACCACAAGGTCACGGTTGTGGCCCCCCGCGGGGTGGTTGTGGCCCCGCTGGCCCCCCTGGCGCACACAAAGGGGCACGCGGGCCGCTCTCCACGCCGCGCCACGCCCCGCCTTCATTTCCACTCGCGATCGCCAAATTTGGTGCGCCTTTGTGCCCGGGCTGGCCGGTCCGGACAGCTCGAGGGAGAAATTGAGCCGGAATGGAAGGAGGTGGGGGGAGGGTACTTTCATTGTGTTGTTTGTTGTTGTTGTCGTTGTTTGCTGTTTTTGTTGCCTCGCCTTATTACCTGTCGTCGGGTCGGCCATGATGCCCGATGCCGTCATTGAAATGAGAGATAGATCGACGTCTCGACGGCACCGCGTCGCGCCACGCCACGCCACGCAGCGCCACGCCACGCCACGTCGGGTAAACGCTAGCGACCCGGAGAGCTCACTCACCTTGTTGTTCAGCACGCGGCGCCGCGCACCCGAGGCCGGCCCGGAGCCTGAAAGCGAAAACAAGAGCGTCACAAATCAGGTCACAAAAGCAACAAATGTCATTTTACCAATCCAACGGGTAAAAAAATATTTTCTCAAAAGCAAAAACAAAACACGCTAAAAAAACCGTCATAAAGCGATGAGATCCAAGTTTGTTGGATGAAAACCCGGGTGGTATAATTTCTGCGACTTTAGGACCACATATCACACATCTAAGTTAACAGCCAATAGATAAGTGACACGTCGACAGAAGAGTCAGGGCACCCTTTACCTGCAAAAACAGACCGATCAAGATTCCACTTCCTGATTAATTTTCACATTTCCTCCTTCTTTGCCGAGAGGGAGTCGCCGGCCGGCCACAAGTCTCACGAGCAGCCTAGCCGAGCGTGTATTCCCGCCGCCAAGGAATGTATCGAGGACCCGATAACACACTCACGCACACACACACACACACACACACACACACACACACACACACACAGGCACGCACACGCACGCACTGCCGGGCCGTGGCCCGGCCAGCAGGTTGGAGGTGCCGAATTTCGCACCAAGCGGCGACCCAAACACGACACTCCACTCCACCGCCGGAGACCTCCTCGACTCTTGGAGAGGAATGCCTTGCGCGGCGGCGACTGACCCGCTCGGCTCCCCCGGACCCGATCCTGAGGGGGCGTGAACACATGTCGGCACACCGCCCCGCCAGTATCGGAAAACGGTCCGATACTCGGCAGCAGGCGACAAGGAATTTTCATTTCCCCCTCCCCCCTCCACTCCACCCTGCTGCATCAGCCAGATATAGTCCACTCCGTCATCCTTCGAGTCCACCTTCAGAGAACAGCAGCGCGGGCAGAAACGGTTCCGCGCAGACCTCTCTCGGCCGTAAAGCTCTCAATGGAACTCGTCGCGACCAAAGTGAGATAAATTGCCCCCCATGCTGAAGCTGCTGGACGCTCTGCCGAACCGATCCACCTCACCTGCTGCACCTCACCTGACCTGACCCGCAACAAACACCAACGGCAAGACCGGACCTCCGCGCACGCAGGGGGAAGGGGGAAGAAAGACGAGACCGTTACTGCAGGGGAAAATAACACTCTACAATTTCGCAATCTGACAGACAGCGCTTTCGCAAAAAAAAAGTTAGTAAAATCTGTTCGATTTTTAAAATGTAACAGTAATTCACACTGAAAAAAACAACAACAATGGGACATGTGTTACATTAAAAGTGTGACATCCTTGATAGGTTGCATCATATTGGTGAGACCGAAACACATGTCACAATATCATTACACGGCGACCACTACTGTTCACATCAATTGACGTTACATATGTCACATTACTTTTCCCAGTAGTGTACTTGAAAGTCGGAATATTTGGGATGGAAAATCATAATTATTGGCCAATAGGAGCTTTGATATGACATATGACACGAGGCCCCTTCATGCGCTTCGCCACCTCCACATTCTTCGATAACCACACAATAAAAGGGAAATTCGAGAGTTGTTATTTCCTCGAGGATATCCGATCATTCATCGCGTAAATCTATCGGATTAGAGGTAAATCTGGGGAGGTAAACCCGGCGAGGTAATCCAATCAGATGGGACACTCCGTTTACCCAAGTTTTGGCAGGAAGTCTATTCTCCAATTGAACTTTTATTGATGGCCTGGCACGCCGCACCGTACCCGCAGCTCAGGCTCTCGTACATAGCCTTTTGCAGGCGGCGGTGGCAGTGGCAGGCCATTTGCAGCAGGGAGCCCGGCCCTCGGGCCCGCCCGGCCACCAATCCCATCAAAACCTAATCAATCAGGCAGAAGCGGGCGGCGGCCGTCCTCACCTGACCACGCGCCGCGCCCGGAGCCGCGCGCTGTTCAAACACACCAGCGCCGGTTGGCTGGGCAACCGGCGTCAACATACTGGGATTCGCAACCTTCCGAAAGGAAAAGTAAAAAAAAAAAAAAACAACATTCGGTCCAAATAGCTAATTTGTTTGATGCCCTCGAATCTCGTTTAAATTTTTGTGCTGCTGTGTGAGAGTGAGCTAGCTAGAGGGAGGGAGGGCATTATCCAAGTGTAATCGAATTGCTTCCTCTTCGCCCTCCAGCTCCAGCTCTGGCGGCTCCGGTCGTGACTGACTGTTTGTGACGCAGGGGTGTAAAACTTGCGCCAATCACAGTCGTGGTGCGGCCCAAAACTTTCCTGATTGCGAATCGCGC